CATAATCAAGAGAGAGAGACTCATGGTATGGTCAGGATTACCTCTTTTGCTCCCCTGTATAACAGGCCATATAAATTTGCCCAATGAGACCCACCTTAGGCTCATCACCTTTGGCCAAACTGAAACACCTGCTTCAGAAAGAAAACTAATCCTGACCTAACTAGGCCAAGCTCTGGAGCATTTACTACCTGTTGTGGGAAGCTAGTTCCTGTCATTCCAGCACAGCCCTTCTAGGAATCAATCTACAGATTACTTGTCTCTCCTGCTTTTCTTGGCTCTAAATACAAGCAGTAGAGATCGAAAGTACAGTGCACGAGGGCTGGTGTTGTGCAATTGCTATTTGTGTATTTCTGATGCTTGTGCCCTGAAGAAACACAGCTGAGTTTTGAATGCATTGAGGACAGAGGTTCATGTTCAGGTCCTGACCCTTATCCGAGTTCCTGGGCTCAGGCCAAATCCCTACCAAAGGTCAAGCTGAGGGGTTTTCAGTGTAAATGATCAGGGGGTTTTCAGTGTCTTTAATTAGCACCATATAGAAATACAGTAAGTACTCCCAAATGTCCCCAACCGCATTGTAAAAGCAGACTAGATCTAGATCAGTGATTCTCAACCAGGATATTGTGAGATCCTTTAAGGTTATGTGCCATGTTAGCAATGTTTAGTGTGCAAACACCTACACACGAGTGAAATATTTCAGATAGGAGTCACTGTCAATAAGATTCTGACTTATTTTGGTCTTTCTAAGTGCTCAACAAAATAATTGCTCACTTATTTTTCTGTAGTCTAAAAAGTCTGAACTAAGCGCTGGCATTTTCTGAAGGTCCCTTAAATCTAATGAAGGGTATCTTGAGTCTGAAGAGATTGGGAACCACTCCCCTGGATTCTCAGTTTTCCATTGCCCAAGACCTTCATGCTTGATCCTCATTTATACTAGGATCCCTTTATATTGTTCTGCCAATGCAAAGGAACCTTAACATGTTTTGACATTCCTTATACTACTTAACCAGTGTAAATGAAATCAACCCCCTTATGTCATCAATTATACCAGTGGTGAGTGAGTAAGAAATGCTTCCATTCTGATATGATATTTTGTTCTCAGAGGGCTCTATGTATAATGTTAAGGCTCCCTGTATATATCTATGAGTGAATGATTACCCTAGACATTTTTATATGTATTTTTTTTAATTCCATACAACATTCAGATTAGAATAAAGCAACAAGATGCAGGAGGACTATGTTCCAACTTGCAGAATCATCAAATTTGACTGGTTTTCATCAGTGTGGTGAACTCTTACTTTCCCAAGTTTGCCATATCTTGTGCTTCAGAATCTAAGTTTTTCTTCACAGGAAATAATTTAATTTTGCCCTTATGATTGTGAAGAAACAAGTTTTGTAATGGAAACTGGTTGTAAACCTGGGCAGCAGTACCTACAGAGAAAAGTTTGAGAACAGCAAAGACTACTTTAATTGATCCTGATGCATTAAATTCAGCATTGTTAATGATTTCAATGCTAGAGAAAAGCATACAAGAAAGAAGGACAGCCACCATTCTTCATAGTCATGGCTGGGACAGCAGAAAAGGAGCTTGGACAGCAGGCAGAGCTTAGGAGAGTACTGACATTACACCCCCTTCCCTATTCTGACCCCTGCCTGATAATTTGAACCCTACTGTACTCTACACTCCCCTAGACAGTTATTTTGGTTGAAAGATGTTGGCATTCCAAAAAGTTTTAATCCAGTTACATAGAAGAATTTTAAACAGATAGGAACAGAACAGTGGAGTTGGAGGACCCAAATACAGGAGTTTAACCTGAGTTAATGAACCAGACCAGCAATGTAACAGTTCACGTAGCCCAGCTCTTAGGCATCCAAGTCCCTTCAGTTAAGAGGTTAGGCTATATGAAATGTTAAGCTCCTGGTAAGGTTTATTACCCAGGTTGAAGTCTCTTGTCCTGGGTTTTGCAGCTCCAACATCTTGTTTCTACCTGCCTGGATCGAGGACAGAGAGGGGGATGAATTAAGAGCCTTTTCCATCCTCTTCCTTTCTCTGTGATCAGTGGCACTATTTTAAGAATTAGTTCTTATTATTAAAATAATATTTAGTATTTAATGCTCATAGAGTGCTTGGAAGAGCATTGACCAATTAACACAAAACATAATGTGGGAGGTAGACTGGTGAATTATTACCCCCATTTTAAATATAGGAAAACCAAGGTAGAAGGGTTATGACATTTTTAAAAGCCACATAATGAATCCTTTACAGGGGCACTCAGCAGTGGATTCCAGCTGGAAGAATATGACAAATCTCCTATTTGCATATATTCCTGAATCAATTCCTTGTTTTCTTTTTTGCCAACCAGAGCTGGAGATATTCCCCCATCAAAGCAGAGCATATCAGCAATGGATCGTTACTCAGGAAAGCTGGCTTTGTACAACACCAAGAAGTTGGCTCTAAAATAGCCAAACTATGTTACAGAGCAGTTCAAGGGCCAGCTAAAGTAAACCCAAATTTAGGCCTCCCTTCCATAACAGAGGATTGAAAGTGACACTGATAACTGATAGGAAAATGTAGGCTTTATAAAAAAGAAGCATATGCAAAAACCTAAACTAAGGGAAATGTTCCCAAGTGGTTTTTAAAATCCCAGTGGAAGTAGCAAACCTTCCTGTGCAGTATCTGCAACCCAAACACTGCAGCATTTTGCTAGTGCACAAGGACATGAAAGAGAAAGTGATTAAAGACTGATTATGAAGAGAGATGAAACTCACTATTCTCTTTTCATCATCCAAGACAGAAAACAAGGAAAGAAAAACAAGCAGGAAGAGTAGATGCAAGAACATAACAGCCTTGATAATACTGTGTTTAACAATCCAACCAAGACCAGAATAGTTGTTTTTCAATATGGTATTTTTACCCTGACAGGACCCTCTTGAGGCCTGAAGCTTTAGAACAGCAGATGGTGGCAGTATCAAGCAGAGGAGAGCCTTTGTTAAGATGGGGGTTTAAGAAGCAGCATCATGCATTAAAGCTTGCTTGTAAGGTACACAAAGATCAGTAAGGAGAGATCAACTGTGTACATTGGACTAGTCGGGTCATTGTTGAGTTCAGTGAATAAAGAGAGTTGTAAGTCCTTAACATTCCCCATCTGTCCCTAACCACCTTCTTACTGATCACCTGTCAGGAGTCCCCAGCAGCTTAAAAGCAGGCCAGGTTGCAAACCCAAAGAGCTCCAAGTGGGGACTGAAGCAGGTTGGTCAGTGATTATAAGTGAGCTGGAACAAGCTGCCTGAGGCCTGACACTGTTACAAAATAAAGAAATTTCATCACTAGGCATTGCCGTGAATTGACAGGAGGCTATTTTAAACCCTGGTCTTCTTCCTCTTCCCTGCCAGAGACCTCTTTTTCCTCCCCAGGATGGGCTCATTGCTGGATGATTGAGGACGGATCTTCATCTCAGTGAAAGGAATGGAGAACTCGTGGCCTTTCCATGGCTCCCAGTTCACCCCCTGAAAAGAGAACAAGAAATTGCCCTTGTTAAAGTATGCATATATCAGGGGGCTTAAGAGAGAACTAGGATACTACCAGTAACCCTTAGCCCTTATATTTACTGGAAGAATTACTATTGGCTTTCTATCAGAATAAAAAGGAAGGGGAAATCTTACCAAGTCTCTAGACATTTCTAATGTAAGTTAGGTAGGCAGTAAATCAAAAATCTTCCTGTGAGCAATGACCATGCAGTAGCTCACAAAAAAAAGATGTACTTTGTAGCATGACTTGAACACTAGCAGACCTGGGCTGTTTTGCTATTGGGTGAGGAAATCATGTTCCCAGGCTTAGGCTCCTGTTCATGAAGAATGTTCAACCAGCAGCTCTGTCTCTCTAAAACAGGGTGTGGGGAATTCTGCTCCAGCTTCTCTGCCCATCATAACAGTGTGGCACAAGGGGAGAAGCAGGGGAGAAGCAAATGACAAGGTCCCAAGCATTTACAGCTTTGTAAGTCAACAGCCACTTCTAAAATTCAACCCAGCAGCCAAGAATCAATCAGTGTAGAATATGGGGCAGTAGTGCCATGTGCTGCCACCTCTGTACAAGTAAGTCTTTGTACTATGCATCATGTAATCAACAAAAATAGGGCTGGAAGTGGCCTTGAAATGTCACACAATCCATATTTCTGGGTATTGATAGACATGCATGTCCCTACTCTAATTCCTGGCACTTCACATAAAGTGCCATGAGTTAAAGTAACACCCCCTCCCCACATCCCCACCCAACAAATGTTTGCCTGTTGAGTCCAAGTGGAGGAGACGGGGGACGGGGGTGGGGAGCGAAAATGAGCTCCACTTTGGAGCTGATCTAGCAGTGGACCCTACCTGCAGCCTCTGTTCCCTTGCCCTGACCCCCACTCCCAGCTCTGGTGCTGTCTGTAGGAAGGGAGGGGGGAAACAGGAGTGGGAGGGAGCTGTGGGCTGGGGTTTACCAGACCTGAGCTGGAGAGGGAAAAGGCTGGGGTGGAGGGAGGCCACGAGGCAGGGGGTGTTCCAATCCACCCACCCCCTCCAGCTTAGGTCAGGCAAACCCCAGGATGAAGCTCCCTCCCAATCCCTTCTCCCCACTCCCCTCCCTTCCTGCAGACAGCACTAGGGGCAGGGCTGGCCTGCATCAGTCTGTCAAATCAGTCTGTCAAATCGTGCTGACATACTGACCCTAGGGAATACAAGTTCCCTAAGGCACTCCACAGTGAAGCACCTTCGACTGATCCCTCATTAAATGATAGTTAATTTGTCATATGATCAGCCACTTTTAAAGTGCTCTGCAGCACCTGTGCCTCTGCATGTGTCACATGTGTAGAGGCCAATAACACAACATATGTCACTTCTGTCAGCACCCTCTGTGCCAAGACAGGATCATCTATCCCACTTTTCATCTGTGGATTCAAATTGTTTTGCAAAAGCTGGCAGGCATCAGGTGGCAAAACATAGGCACGGAGAGATTAAGGGTGCCTATACATGAGTAGGGCAGTTGTTCTAACATACTATAATTCCAGCATGTCAGGGCAGACTCAATTAATCGAGTCTGTGGGAGCATAGTCAAACGAGCTTTAGATAAAGTGCTCCTGCCACCATTTTGAAGTGCAGGGATGCTGATACATGAAACGCTCCAGGCGCTTTAATTAGAGCAGCTCTCAGGGCTGTTCTAATTAAAGCACCCCCCTACCCCCACACATGTATAAAACACTAAGAGACTTCCCCAGCAAAGTGCATTAGCCTTTATCTCTAATGACAAGGGTTCAAATCCTGATTTAGATCATGAAAGAGAGATTCTACTTTCTATGTCATCCTTCCTCTGTGGATAAATACAGAACTCCAGCTTCTCTGGCTGTCTATCTGGTACCTTCCAGCAGCACTAAATTGACTATTCAATTCTCTGATCAGCAGATCAATGCCAGGGCACAAACAACTGTTTTCCATTGGATGAAATCAGAACAGCTCAGTTGCACATCACAGGGCCGACACTGATTACAGCGCCTTTATTTCAACCAAGAGGAGTCCGGGTGTGCAGAACAGGAGATTGTAAATAGGATCCTATAGTCATTCTCAGGTTCCAGTTGGCCAGAGTGGGTGCCATAATAAACAATTATGAAATTACTTGGTTGCTGTGGCTTGTGCATGACATTAGAGTTCGCCATGGCCAACGGAGTCCCTAAGGCTGTAGGAAGACACACACATACATCAGAGCCTTGGCACTCACCTCACTGTGCTTGGTTTCCCCGTATTTGCCATTGAGATTAGCCAAGTGGCAATTCTTGTACCACCAGGCACCACGATGCGCAAGAGCACAGTTGCTCAGAGCCACATCATTGTCTCTGTCCCACGTTGTGAATTTCCAGCCATTGTGGTAAGTCAGCGCATCCCCTCAAAAACAAGAGGAGACAGTAAGCACAGCAACTTGGGGGTAGTATTATTGCACTTTTGGAGGGATGGGATGCTTAGAGCAAGCAGTTCCCAGAGTACAGTTCCAGGATACTGCAAATCCAAAGATAGGTTTTGGGGAAACAAGAGCGGTACAAGGAAAATAGGGCAGACAACATGGCTTAAGAATCAAGGGCATTTAAATCACTATAGGAGTGAATTGCCTGGAGTACAGATGGCAAAGTCCTTTATGTTATCATGCTGGGTATTAGGCCTGAGTGTACTGTCAAGGAATCTAAATTTCAATTCAGTTTAGGTCAACTTTTCACAGACTCTTCCTTCCTCCACTTTCGAATGTTGTTTGCTTTAGTTGGGAATGCCCAGCTGCCATTACAGTGTCTTCATAGGATAATCAGCTGGACCTGCCCTCCAGGAGAGTCTGAGGACAGTCTCATGGGCTTCTCTCTCACCCCTGCCTACTTTACCTCCTGATCCAGTGGAAAGCAAACTAATTTTTATGCTCTTATTTTTCAAGAGAGAGCCTCTGAACTCACTGTCTTCAGTCCCAGAAATACCAATAAATACACTAATACTTCTGAAGAAACCTGGCTTTAATGCATCCCAGTCTAATCAACCACTCATGCCACTGGTGACACAAGCATCCCCAGTTATAAAGTTTATTTGTACTAAGTGAGAGAGGATCAGCATTTCTTACCAGCAGTGCCTCTGTAATTCCCTACAGACAGCTTGTATCTATCCCTGCTTGAGGCAACTTGGAAGAAATCATAGACAGCATAGGCAGACTCATTGGAAGTCCGCAAATCCACCCGGATCTCATATCGGATGGGTGTGGCACTGGTGAGACTGTGCAGCTTATCAAGACCTAAAAGAAGCAGCCAAGGTTATTACTCCAAAGAAGGTAAACAACAGTTAAAAATACATTCACTTTGTGTTCCAGTATTTCTTTTTGCCCCATTTGATGTTAAATCAGTGGCTTGATCCTTCACAGCCATCTTCTCCCCCTCCTTGATCCTGAAATGGCATCATACTGAATCAAACAAACAAGTCAGACTGAGGGAACATTTTCTGTCTCTAAAAAAAGATCTAGAATCCCTACCACCGTAGTACCAAGGTCCTGGAGTCTCCCATCCAAGCACAGCCAGGTGGTATGCCAGGAACAAGACACAAAAAATGATGGGCTGAGTGCATTATGTTTTTCATAAATATCCTATTCTTCACATTTGTCTAAATGCCAGCTCCTCCATTAAATCAAGGTGCCACAGCCTTGTAACTCCTCTCTTGGCTCAAGCTCATGCAAACCCTAAACTGAGTTTTTGCCGGAGATCTGGAAAAGTTTGGCTCAACCAGAACTTGCTTCAAAACCCAGCAAAGTCAATAAAAAGTCTCCCATCAGTGATTTCAGTGGGGCCTTTGCACTTCCATTCCAAAGCAAAGGCACTGACAGCTCCAGTGGCATTCCCAACCTGATTCTTCAGACCTCTAAGGTCTGGACACATCTAAATGCTGGAGCACTTCTACAATGCCAGTCTCTGGCTGTTTATCCTTCAACAGTCAGCCGCAGATACTGTACCAAGCCAAAATTCCCCCGTAGGATCTCCAAAGCCTTCTACGTAATTCCTCCAACGCTTGTAGAAATCCAGCTCCCCTGTATTCCGCCTCTGAAATACCTACAAAAAAAGTATTGCTGAGTAAGCAATGTGGGGTAGCTAGGGGGTAGAACGACCTGATTTGTTCTGCCTGTGGGATACCCCCAGCAGGTTGCTTTTATCTTCCCATTATCCATGTTTCAGATGTATTCTACAAAACCCAGGTGTTAACAAATAATCAGAATTCGATCTCACAGTAAGTTGTGATTTCGTTGCTGATGCATGTGGGTTTGTTTCTGTTCCCTGACTGGATAAGCACAGAAGCATATCTACTGTGAATACCCATGCATATAAATTTAAAATTAGCTTTCCACAAATGCCTTTCCTGGTACACCATGAATCACATTAACATGAGTATATTATGAGCACAAACTTGATAGATGGGTATAAATAACTAAATTAAATAGGGAGTACATATACAATGGGACCAGAATTTGTTTTAATATAGGAATGAATCTGCATGAAAAACTGTTTTCATCTATGGATAAAAATAAAAACAAAAAAGGGCATCTTCCTTTGGTAGAGAAGGGAGACATCTCAAAAAAAAATCTTCAGGAGTGTTACAATTCCCACCTCTGTGTACAACATCCTCAGGCCATAGCTCCTTTGGTGTGAGCACAGTCCATTATGAAATGGATTTAAGAGTCTTTGTTCACTTCACACAAGCCTCTGTGACATTGTCAAGTGGTAATTATATTAATTAGTTGCCAATATAGGCCTGAATAGAATGAGAGCCCAAGCACTGAATGACTTTGTACCTGTCATACCTTTGAGATGTCTTGTCCCCACCACCACCAGAATTGGGAATAATATTGGGTACAGAGAAAAGTGACAATTTTCACCTGATCTAGCCACAGAAACCAGTCTACAGACATTAGAGGTGCACCGATACATCAGTCCAATATCAGATTGGCACCAATAAAAAGAAAATTGATTGCATCAGAAATCGGCTTAATATGGCCGATAATTTGGCCAATAAATGCCCGTGTATGTATGCAGCCACAGCGCAGCACTTAGACAGCGAGGAGCACAGCCTGGCAGCATGGAGAGCTGCGTGCATCTTGTGAGTCTGTTGTGATGGAAGGGGAGGGGGGAGGGAAGGGGCATGGGGGTGGGGGCAGATCAAGGCCCCCACAGTGAGGGAGGGAGTGGGGCAGGGGCTGGGGCAGGTGCTGCTCAGCCAGAGCAGGGAGGAGTGTGGGATGGAGCCGTGGCTCTTTCGGAGTGGTGCGGAGTGGGGGAGTGGCGCCTGCTGCTGTGCACCCCCAGGAGAGCATGGGAAGGGGGGCGTGTGTCCCCAGGTCTGCATGGGGAGGGCTGGGGCCGGAGTTGTGCCGGGCTCTTCCTGGAGCATAGGGGCTACACTCAGGGCTGCAGGGCTGTGCTCAGGGCTGTGCTCCCAGCACATGGGGGCTGCGCTCAAGTCTTGGGGCGGGTGATGGAGGCACTGGGAGGGGGCTATGGGGGGACTACAGTGAAATTTGGGGTGCTTCAGGCCTCCCCCATAACCCACTTCCCAGCACCACCACCACCTGCCCCAAGCACAGCCCCAGCCCCACCACCCCACACACACACCTGGAAGATCCAGCGCAGCTCGGGCCCTGGCCCCAGCCCACACCTGCAGCCTGCCCTGCCTTCCCAGCACAGATCTGGGGCCACACCCCCCCATGCCCTCCTGGGGTGCGTGCAGCAGCAGGAGCCACCCCCCACCCCGTGCCCCCTGGACAAGCTGCAATTCTGTCCCACATCTTGTTCCACCCCAGCTGGGCAGCACCTGCCCTGCCCTGCCCCTCCCCCCCATCCATCACAACAGACTTACAAGGTGCATGCAGCTGTATCAGAAATCAGATTGGTATCAGCTGATATGCCTCCTTAAAAATTGGCTATCAGTATCGACCCCCAAAATCTCTATCAGTGCACCTATAGGCAATGCATAGGAGGAGCATGGGGGGCATATGCCCCCTGAGACTTGCTATCTTCTGCTGGAGGTAGCCACTTGCCACCCATCCCTCCCTGCCACTACGGCCGGCAGCATCTGTAGGTAGTCCCAGCTCACCGCTTGCCAACACGCCCCCCTGCCACCAACACCACCACCAGCATTTGTGGGTGGTACCTGTTCGCCACTTGTCATCCCCCCCCCGCCATCACCGCCAACAGCATCTGCAGGTGGTCCCTGCTGCCACCTCCAATGGTGACCCCCCAGTCTCGGGAGGCACCAGTCGTTCATGGGTGTACCCCTAATAGCCATAACCAAACACAGCTGCAGACTACTTCAAAAATGGCCGATTGGGCAAAAATCTGAACCCTCAGTGTATGAGGGGTCAGATGCAGATGTTTCAAAACATAGCATCTTCTATAACTTCCATCCGCACTGCCTTCCAGCCTTGAGCTATTTTCTGAATGAAAGTGGGGAAAGGGATCAGACGGAGTTTAGTCTGGAGTTTTTTCAGCCCCTGTTAGAGGGTGGGCCAGGTGTATTGGAGCTCCCCCCACCCCCCTCCAATTCACCCACCCCACCCTCCAGTGCTGGCTGGGGAAAAGGAAGAAGGAGCTCCCTCTCCTCCCTTCCCCACTCCCATTCTGAAACAAGGACAGGCTGGGAGAGAAGAGGGGCCATTACTAAGGGAAACTGGCTGCATGCTCCCAGCCAGCAGCTAGATTCCCCTCCCCACCTGGAATCAACAGTGAACTTCTTGGTTTGAGGGTGGTTATAACTCAGAATACTTCTTGCAAAGCATTCTCAGTTACACTGGGAACCTGCACTTCTGTCTGTACCCACTAGATATTCACATTGGCAATCTAAGCAGGGAGGCCATGGTGTGAAACAGCTATAAATCAGCTTTCCTCCTTGCTTCTGATAGGTGGTACTTCCAAGGCAGGAATAGAGGTATAAAGGAAAAGCAGGACAAGAGGGGTTATTTTCAGTGCCACTACCCAGGCCATATTTGTGCTGCAGATAAACAGATGGACTTCAGATCCCCCAGGATGCCAGTCCAAGAGTGTCAACCAGCACTGGACTTATGTAAGTAAACAGATCCAGAGCATCACTCACAATCCATCCACCTCCATCTGTGGTCATGTCGCAGTACACCTCCATGGGCCTGCTAGCATCACCATTCAGGTAGATGGTATACATGCCACTGGTAGCATTCCCATTTTGCTGCATCTGGCTGCAGTCTGCAGGGTAGGGGTAGAGGAAGCCAACTGTGGAAACAAGGTAGGGGAAAACTGACATCAGCATATCTGATATGGATGGGAAGGAAGCATTCCCAAGAAAGCATCCTAGAAAGTATGTGGTCTGAACAGAGGCACAGGACCAATGACAGTCATTAGGCTTACAGGACCATATATAACCCCCACGTCACATGTGTAACCACAGGCATCTGTCTGCTCTTGCATTATTGCTTGATGCCATGGATGCTGCCATATTGTGGCAAGGACTGTCTTCTTCCACTGACGGCTTGTCTACATTACAGAAGAGTTACCACAATAACTACCGCAACATAGGCATAGCAGCAAAGCCCCCTAGTGAAGAGAGTGTATGCCAACAATGCAGGGTTTTCTTCCACCATAAGTTCACCCCTTCCAAATTACCTTAGCTAAGCCAACAGAAGCTCTCTTCTGTTGGCAAAGCTTCATGACAAAGGGGGGCATTACTCGTATAGCTATGTCAGTTAAAAGTATAATCTTTTCACCCTCTAGCTGACAAAGGTAAGCCAGCAAAAATTTCAAGCATAGACCAGCCCTTATAAAGCTGTATAACAGCTTTACCTGATGCCTACCCACCCATGAATGGTGCCATGAAAGGCTGCAGGAGGCAACCTTGTCTTTGAGGAGTTCTCAAGCTATGTGGGAGACATCTCTGGACACTGGAACTTTGCATGCATGTAAAGGTAGGAGTAATAGCCATAGGTGGAGAGGGCACTTGCAGTCCCCTTCTCCACTTTTTACCACCTGTCTATGATGGACAACATTTTTGTGGGTTTGTCTGACCAGATACCACACCGTCATCAGCTGTACATCTCCTGGACTGTGTAAGTAATTAGGCATCTGACTTTATCCTAACACTAATGACGAGGCAAACTCATAGGATTTCCTTCCTCAGGCAGGGGTTGGACAAGACGGCCTCTCAAAGTCCCTTCCAGCCCTCCGACATACAGCTGGTTCCAGGAATGCAAGATCAAGTTGTCCCACTGGGGACGGGGGCACTACCGCCACTGCTGGCCCGCTGAGCAATCCTTGCAAAGCCAGCAGGTCAAGGCACTTAAGGGAGCCCACCCCTGCCCCAGCCCTGGCAAAACCTGTGTGCAAGGAAGGAGCCCCCCAGGGGGCACTTGCTTGCCTGTACACAAATGCCAGGAGCTTGGGGAATAAGCAGGAGGAACTCATCCTCTTGCTCAATGCAAATAATTATGATGTCATAGGGATAACGGAGACCTGGTGGGACTCCACCCATGACTGGACCACGGGTATAGATGGCTATACCCTGTACAGGAGGGATTGTGTAGAGAAAAGGGGCAGGAGTGTAGCTCTCTATGTTAAGGAAAGCTACACATCCCTGCAAGCCAATATTGGCGACCAGGGTGGACAGCTGGAGACCCTCTGGGTTAAAATCCGTGGGGAACACGGCACAGGGGACACAATGGTGGGAGTCTACTACAGACCTCCCACCCAAAGTCCTGAGCTTGACCAGGAGTTTGC